TGAAAATCAGCCTACAAAAAATTAATTAGTTGAAAATCGAGGGGTCGACACCTCCTGACAGTAGGTGTACAAATCAGTTCACAGTACCTACAATATCTAAACAATACTGTCATAGGTCTGTAAAAATACCATGTATTTTCATAGCAATTGTCACAATACCTAAAATGACTCACAATACTTTCAAAATAGCTCTACAGTACTGACAATACTGAAACAATACCAAAAATCTGTCAAAAATACTTAACAGTATCTCTACAGTACTCACAATATCCGCCGACAATACTGCTAATCCCTTGACAATAGTAAAAGAATACGTGTAAATCGGGTTATGAGCTTTTAAAAGCGTTGCACCACATGACAGGCCAAGTGGTAGAGAGATTCATTCATTCGCAAATTCGCAATAAGATAAGTGAAGTGTCATATTGCATAGTGAAAGAAAATTTTTGAAAATGTATAGTCGTGAACATAAAAAAGGGACACCGATTTTTCTTATTGTAAAGCTTACTTTTCATGCATCCGTTTTTCCGTCAATCCGTTGATCCGGAAGTATTCTTATTGGTCCAATATTTTGGCGCCAAAATATAGAATGTATGGTTGAAATTAAATCTTTTTAGCTGGTCGTGCTCCAACTTTCTTATTTTAAATTGAATACCCTGTATATTATTCAATGTTCGGATTCTACGTCAAATTCTGAGCAGGTTTCATGTGATATACCCTATACCTAATTTCAACTGTTTTGGAAATATCGATAGTTGAAAATTGACTTTTTTATAAATTTGACAGGCTGTAAAATCTAAACAGTTAACTTTTGAGCAAAACCGATCTCACATTTGAAAATCTTAAATTCACAAGTTATTATTTTACATCAACTTTGAATTTAACTGAAGATTAAATTTAATTGCAATTTTCAATCATGGATTAAATTCAAATTTGATGTCAAATATTTATTTATTAATTTATTTATTGGATTCTTTACAAACACCATAGATGGTAATTACATGTAGTTACTTACTACTATAAACAAACTAACAACCTAAGCCTACAAAGAAAACAAGAAGAAATTCATATCACAGCCTTCAAATTTTTGAGACTAGTATTAAACAAGTCTGTTGGGACCTCACTGAGAATCTCATTTGTTATAAACATTATTTTATTAAAAGGAGATATACTATTGGGATCTGCACTAAATACTTTTTGATTATTTGGTATTCTTAAATTAATCATTGGTACAGTAAAATTTATATAATTAATTAAGTTACAGTCTTTGTACTTTATGTTATTTAAAATATAGTAAAGATATATCACAGCTTGTTGTCGTCTTCTTTGTAAAAGAGATCTGAAATTGAAACTATCCAACATAGATTTATACGAAACTTTTAAGGGATATGTGTTGTTTTTTAAAACATAAAGGTAACGCAAGAACCTTTTTTGAACCTTCTCAATACAATCAATATGTGTGGCCTCCAATGGCATCCAAATCTGTGACGCATATTCTAAATGTGGCCTCAACAGAGCATTATACAACCTGATTATTGTGGAGATACCAAATTCCTTTGTATTTCTTATCAAGAAACCCAGAGCCTTGACGGATTTATTTTTCATGTGACAAAAATGACTATTAAATTTTAAATTTGATTGAAAGAAAACTCCCAAATCCTTCACTTCACTTTCACGCTTCATTATGACATCAAAAACTTTGTAGTTATGAGAAATAGGATTGATCTTCCTAGTAAATGTTAGAACTGAACATTTTTTTATATTGAGGAACATTTTGTTATCAGAAAACCATTTAATTACTCTATCAATATCAAGCTGGAGCAAATCGCAATCTCTTCTCGTTTTTATAACTCTATAAAGTTTGAAGTCATCAGCAAAAAGTAATCCTGTGGAGTTTGAGAGACACTCTGGCAATGAATTAATGAAACACAAAAAAAGTAAAGGTCCCAAATTGCTTCCCTGTGGCACGCCTGAGGTGGCAATGAAGGGTTCTGACTCGCAGATTCGAGAGATATGACTTTAAAAAATGGTAAATTTCCTCTGTTACACCCAAATCAACAAGTTTATAAAGCAACAGTTCATGATCTACTTTGTCGAACGCTCTCTCGCAGTCTGTATAAACAGCATCTAACTGGTCTTCATTTAAGATAGCTTCAGCTGCAGCTTCTGATATAATTGACAAATTTGTCACAGTTGATTTATCTTTCACAAATCCATGTTGAAAGTTTGAAATTTTGGGTTTTAAGAAACTGTAAAAGTCATCAAATAAAATGGTCTCAAAAATGTTTGCTAAAACATTAATTAGGCTAATTGGCCTATAATTTTTAATTTCGTTTCTACTGCCACTCTTAAAAATTGGTGTTATTTGTGCAGTTTTCAGTGCTTCTGGAAACTGATTATTTTTTATGGCAAGATTAAAAATATGTTTTAAAGGTGATGCAAAAAAGTCTGCTAAACCCTTATATCTGTAGGCTGGTATGTTATCGGGGCCAGTTGACTTTTTAGGTTTAAGTTTTTTTATGCTGTCAATGACATTAGTTTCAGTAATTACAGAAAATTCAAAAGAGTTGCCACTGAAATCAGGAGTCCTATTTTGAATTTTTGTGGGTATTTCATATACAGATTGAAAGTGTTGTGCGAAAGCATTAGCATTGGTGTCAACTGATAGTTTATAAAAATCTAAGAAAAAAATGTAAGATCGGTTTTGCTCTAAAATTAACCATTTAGGATTTACAGCCTGTCAAAGTTGCCAAAAAGTCAATTTTCACCTATCAATATTTCCAAAACATTTGGACTTAGGTATAGGGTATATCACATGAAAACCGCTCAGAATTTTATGTAGGATCCGAATATCTAATAATATACAGGGTATTCTATTTGAAATAAGAAATTTGGAGCACAACCAGCTTTTCTGAAACATCCTGTATATGCGAAAGTGAGTTTTCCAAAAAATTTCAACCATAAAACTTTTAAAATGTGAAATAAAAAAGATAGAGAGGGGTGACATTTATAAGCAATAACCCTGTATATACATTTTCATCCGAAATCCCGTGAAATCACTTTGAAATCCTTTGGAAATCCCGAAATCCATTCGAAATCGCGAAGAGCGAAATTCTATCCGAAATCCTCACGAAATCCCGAAATCCCAACCAAAATCCTTCAAAAATCCCGAAATCCTAACTGAAATCCTTCTGAAATCCCAATTTTAACGAAATCCTCTAAATCTTTAGTGATACAGCGTTGAAATTCGAATATACGAAAACTTTCGAAATCCCTTAAAAATTGTTGAAGACCCCTGCGATTTCCGAAATCGATGTACAAATTGTGGTGAGTGAGCCGCACCTCGGTAAAACGGGTTTAGGAATTAATAAACGATATACAGGGTGTCAAAAATACCATGATTGGACCATCTCTTAACGGTAAGAGATACGAGAGCGGTCGAATTAAAAAAAAGTTCCCATCGTGATTAAAAATATATTTTCGTTGCTGCCAAAATTCTATCAGTTTCCGTGATACAGGATGATTTGTAAAAAAAAAACAGTTCTAGGTGTTTTTTACCAAATCACCCTCTATAATCTCGGAAACTAATAGAAATTTGGCAACAACGAAAATATATTTTTGATAACCATCGGAAATGGCAACTTTTTTTAATTCAACGGCCTCGTATCTCTTACAGTTTCCGATATACCTACCGATGGTGGCCTATGGTATTTTAAACACCCTATATAATAAGTTATCAGTAGCTTTAATCAACGATCGGAAAAGTTTCATTTACGGGGTCCGCCATGTAAAACTCCCTAGTTTCATCACATCCGATTAAACAATTGGCATCTTACCAATGCATAGTGCATAAAGCTTAAAAAATATGTACCTAATGAACAAGAGCTGTCAATGAAAATAAACCATCAGTCACAATTTACACTTAACAATAACAAATATGATTTTACATTCACAGTACTAGAATTGGTTCTGAAAATACATAAACAGTACCGACAGTACTTCTACATTAGTAACAGTACTAAAAATTGCTTTACAATACAGGTTAAGTATTGCTGTTTCATCTACAGTACCCGACAGTACCAGTTAAATACTTACAATATGTTAACAATACTTGACAATCCCAACAATACCATACAATACCTAAAATAAAGTGACAATGCCTGACAATACTCTAACAATACTCAACTAGAACGGTTAGTTTACAGTAGGTGTACAAATTTCCAATCAGGTGTTGACCCCTCGTTGAAAATACAGTCTCACACATTTCAAAGTTTTCCTGGAAAACTAGTGAAGGGAAAATTTTGAAACTATTTGCATGTAAAGAAGAAGGTGAGAAGCTCATTTTCCCTAAATTTCAAATTTTTCCAGTGGAAAATAAAAACATAAGGAAAATTGGAAATCAACCTCTACAATAACTGAATTAATTGATAATACAGTCTCACACATTTCAAAGTTTTGTAGTGTAATTTTGGAAGAGTTTCTTTAATAAAAATGAATATCCAACGTCCAACACAAAACTATATCATTTTTAAATTTCCATTTATTACTATAATAAGAATGTGAACCTCAATGATGTCATGGCCCTACAATTTCCTTTAAATTCCTCACAAATTCTTTCAAATTTCCAATAAATTCCTTCAAATTGATGAATTCCCCAAATTCTCATAAATTCCGATGAGTTCCTTCAAATTCCCCACAAATTCCTCTAAAAATCAAATCAAAATCAAATAAAAAAAAAACAGAAGATGTAATTTGGAAATGTTAATAATTTTATACATGAGGTACCTATGTAATTAGTAGCATTATTTTGCTAAATAAAACCTTTATCTATCTATCTATCTTTCTACAAGATTAGGAAATTTTGCCTAGAAAACAGTCACATATTACAAATTACAAATTTACCCATTAAGCACTAAGAAATAGCAATAAATAAGAATCAGGAAGTTGCGCAAATTCAGAATCAAGTACATAATAATTATCAAGAAACTATGAGGTATTTTTACCTGTACGAGTCACCATCTCGATTGTAGTCGCACAAAACGTAATCCTTGCCAGTTTCCTTGTCTTTGGCGATTTTCAAAGGCTGATCGACCGAAGATAAGAGATCCTCGCACAAACTGGGCACCAGATCGATGAGGTCACTCAGATTTTTCTCGATTTGCTGAGGAGGCAACCGCCTCATCAAATCCAGGGCGCAATCAAATTGATCTCCCTATAAAAAACAGTTTTTACTTATTTGCATAAAAAAATTAACTTGTTTATAGAATTTGATGTATGGCCTAATAACTATTGCCTTTATTTAATAATTAATAAATCAAGTTTTCATTAAATTATTGATAATTAATGGGTGTGCCACAAATTTTGAGGTTATTTTTTTAGAATAATATGATTATTATTACAAGCAAATTATTACATAGTTTGCTTACCATTTTTATGCAATTATTTAACTGGAAAACACTTTAATTACACTAAAATAATGCAAAATATTAATATTTTTGTTGCAACAAATTTTAATGATGATTTGTTGATAAATTATTTATTTGCCAGTTGACATTGACATTGTTATGTGAAAGTCATTTCAAATATATATCTGTCTTTTTCTTTTACATGATGATAGAAAAGGATGCTTATACAATTAAACTAAGGATTGTATTTCTTGCAGCTAGGCTAGTAGTCGATTAGGATATCTATTCAAAAAAGCATGACGTCATGAAAAGACCATCATATTTATTAAGAAAATAGCCTTTTTTAATCCAATAAATAAAATTTTATAAAAGGAAATTATAATAAAGTCCAAAATATTTAAAAATCTAAATTAAGCTCATCCTACGCAGTCTAAATAAAAAGCTCGAATTGTCTACATATAAAATTAGTCTCGAGTTTGCGCTCATTGTGGGTTTCGCAGGTACAGCACAGCAGAGAAACCAAAACAAAAAGCCTTCAGTTGCTTATATAAAATTCCAAGATTCAGGGCCTTTTGCTTTCACAATAGTTTAAGTAAATTTTATTTCACTCACGTGGGTAATTTTAGTATAAGTGACTATTTATTTGGATTAAAACTTAAACAGGTGATTTTATTTTTCAAATATCCGAGCCCCCTTTTTCAAAAGGAATCTTTTCGTACGAGTTTTCCAAAAGTGCCAAACCTGGCTACTGAAATTCGCTATAGGATTGGTATGAGACTAATCTTGAAGAAGTTCATCATACACACCTCCTCTGACCACTTTTCAGAGTACTTTTCCTGAAATTTTCTTTAGTTTTTCTTTCAACTTTTCACGTTGTGTATGAACTACTGTTGTTTCGAAACGGCTAGCGGAGAAAGTAAATTGGGGTCTTCCAGTCTGGCTTCGTTTGAGAATATCGTTAATCGACAACCAGGGAAAATGGAACTTGCAGGTGCTGTTGAAAACGAACCCAATGCTCAAATGATGAAAGGTAAGAATTATTGTTTATTTAATTTTAAGCAGCTTTAACAGTAAACTTTCTAATACATTTTACTTACAGTCAGACTCAGGAATCTCATAATTTGTACTCTTTAGGCTCCGAAAGTAGGCAAATGTTTTGTAAACTTTCAAACTTTAAACTGGCCTCTTTCCTATTTATAGATCAACCATAAGGTACCTAAATTTTAGGTGTGAAAAACTAATTAATGTACTTAAATATTATTTATCTTTAGCCCTTTTCCTTATTGAAAAGTTTTTTTTACATTACAAAAATTTTCACAGCTGCTGAACTGGTCCACTCTCTATTTAATTATAAGTTTATTTACAATGCATTAAGATTAGGATTGTTTGAGGCAATATTTGTTCTATAATTGCCCATATACCTACATAATATTGATTATTCACAGTTTTCTATTGGAAGATTAAATGTTTTGTTTGTCAAACTATAACACTTGTTTTTGAACAAAGGATCTGAAATCTAATTTCAGTCAAAGGTTTGCTAAGCACATCTGCAAGTTGCTCTTCAATTGAAACTTGCTTGATTTTTAGTTTTCCCTCAAGAACTTTCTTATAAAAAAGTATTTCATGTTTTACTTATCCAGAACACTATCCCCGACACTATTCCTCTGGCCTCTGGCAAAAATAAAATAATATTTCAAGCTCCATTCTCCAAAATTTCTGTCACCAAAGCATTGTTAGAACGATGGTCTATACATACCCGAGTACATACCCATAATGGGAATTCAAGAATTAAGAATTTAGAATAAAGAAAAAAGGAATTAAATTGGGAGAGAGACATTTTCTTGCTGATATTTCCATATTATTACTCATTTTATAACTATCAATTTTTGTCTATTCCAGGCACTAAGCTCGCTGAAATAATTCTGATGTTTTTAAATTATACTGAAGCTTTTGAAAATGCTGCTGGAAAGAGTTTTGGAACGTTCTAAATAGCTTATTGAAGTTCTATAGTGTTTTAACTTGTCTTGAAGAGTTCTGGAACAATTTAGAATTTTTTAAGTGTTTTCTAGATTGTTTTGACAGATTTTTAAGTATTTTTAGAACCCTATTGAAGCTCCAAAGTCTCCTAAATTGGTTCAAAAGAGTTCAAAAAGGTCTCCAGTTCTAAATCCTAATTGTTCTAAAATAACTCTAAAATTCCAAAGTTAAAGTAGTCCAAAATGCTCCTGAAAATTCTGATTTGAACTGTTTTTATATGCTTATTAAAGGTCTAAAGTTCTACAGCAATCTAAATTTGTTCTAAAAGCCTTCTAAGAGGCACTTTGTTACTTTTAATCTGAATCCTAAAATTCTGGCACTTTTTGAAATGTTTCTGGAGATTCTAGAGTGTTTGAGTGTTTTGGAGCATCCTGAAAATGAGTTTCTAACTTCTGAATTGTTCTAAAATACTTTTGGAAATTGTAAATCGAATTTTGAATGTTTTCAAGTACTCTAAAATGGTTCGGAAGATTCAAAATTGTTCTGAAATTTCCAAATTGTTTTGAAGCGCTACCAGAATGCTTTTGGATATTCTGAATTGAATTTGAAGTATTTTGAACTTTCCAAAAGGCTTATTAAAGTTCTAAAGTGTTCTGTATAGCATTTTAGATAGTTTCCAGTAACTTCTTAATTTAATGAGAAACAAATTCTATGGGAGATTTTTGTAGACATCTTTTAGTCATCTGTTTAACGTGTTCAAGGCATCTTAAAGACGTCTGTTATAGTATTTCCAAACTCATTTGGAACAAGGTACCAACTGGTGGCTGACTGGTCACTGGTAATTTTCATAAGAAATACACTGCCACTAGTCAGCCACCAGTTATAATTTATGTTCACCTTGTTCCAATTGACTCTGGAAAAACTATACAAGACTTGTCTGCCTAAAAACGTCTTTATGACATTTTTCCAACACAAATGTGAAGGATTCTTTTTCAGGGGGGCAACCACCCAAGTTAAAAGGTGTATGTACAAATCAAGGGTAATAAATTGGTAATCACCTAGAAATACATTGCAACAGGCATTGCAATACCCTCGAGAATACCTGGTAATACAGGGTGTGTACCATTTAAAACGAAAAAGGCTAAATATCTGATGCCAAGTTTATTTTTTAAAAAATCGCCCATACATGTAATTTGATTTCCAAAGGTGGAAGTTTTCTGAAAAACTAATAAAGGAAAAATTTTGAAACTTTTTGCATGTAAAGAGAAAGGAAAGAAGCTCATTTTCCCAAAATTTCAAATTTATTCAGTGGAAAATAACAACATGTAAAATCTTGGAAATCAACTTACAAAAACTGAAATAATTGTTAATACAGTCACACAATTCGAAGTTTTCCTGGAAAACTAATTAAGGGAAAATTTTAAAATTTTTTGCATGTAAAGAAGTAGGTGAGAAGCTCATTTTCCCAAAATTTCAAATTTTTCCATTGGAAAACAGCAACATGAAGAATCTTGGAAATCAACCTACAAAAACTGAATTAGTTGAAAATACAGTCCCACACATTTCAAAGGTTTTCTAAAAAATTAGTGAATGGAAAATTTTGAAACTTTTTGCATGTAAAGAGGAAAGTGAGAAGCTCATTTTCCCAAAATATCAAATTTTTCCAGTGGAAAATAACAAAATGAGGAATCTTGGAAATCAACCTACAAAAATTAAATTAGTCGAAAATACAGTCTCACATATTTCAAAGTTTTCCTGGAAAACTAGTGAAGGGAAAAATTTGAAACTCTTTGCATGTAAAGAGGAAAGTGAGAAGCTCATTTTCCCAAAATATCAAATTTTTCAAGTAGAAAATAACAAAATGAGGAATCTTGGAAATCAACCTACAAAAACTGAATTAGTTGAAAATACAGTTGCACACATTTCAAAGTTTTCCTGGAAAACTGGTGAAGGGAAAATTTTGAAACTTTTTGCATGTAAAGAGGAAGGTGAGAAGCTCATTTTCCCAAAATTTCAAATTTTTCCAGTGGAAAACAGCAACATGAAGGATGTTGGAAATCAACCCACAAAAACTGAATTAGTTGAAAATACAGTCGCACACAGTTCAAAGTTTTCCTGGAAAACTAGTGAAGGGAAAATTTTGGAACTTTTTGCATGTAAAGAGGAAGGCGAGAAGCTCATTTTCCCAAAATTTGAAATTTTTCCAGTGGAAAATAACAACATGAGGAATCTTGGAAATCAACTAACAATAACTAATTGGAAATACAGTCTCACACATTTCAAAGTTTTCCTGGAAAACTAGTGAAGGGAAAAATTGAAACTTTTTGCATGTAAAGAGGAAGGTAAGAAGCTTATTTTCCCAAAATTTCAAATTTTTCCAGTAGAAAACAGCAATATGAAAAATCTTGGAAATCAACCTATAAAAACTGAATTAGTTGAAAATACCGTCTCACATGTTTCAAAGTTTTCCTAAAAAATTAGTGAAGGGAACATTTTGAAACTTTTTGCATGTAAAGAAGAAGGTGAGAAGCTCATTTTTCCAAAATTTGAAATTTTTCCAGTGAAAAACAGCAACATGAAGAATCTTGGAAATCAACCTACAGAAATTGAATTAGTTGAAAAGACAGTCTCACACATTTGAAAGTTGTCCTGGGAAACTAGTGAAGGAAAATTTTTGGAACTTTTTGCATGTAAAGAGGAAGGCGAGAAGCTCATTTTCCCAAAATTTGAAATTTTCCCAGTGAAAAATAACAACATGAGGAATCTTGGAAATCAACTAACAATAACTAATTGGAAATACAGTCTCACACATTTCAAAATTTTCCTGGAAAACTAGTGAAGGGAAAAATTTAAACTTTTTGCATGTAAAGAGGAAGGTAAGAAGCTTATTTTCCCAAAATTTCAAATTTTTCCAGTAGAAAACAGCAATATGAAGAATCTTGGAAATCAACCTATAAAAACTGAATTAGTTGAAAATACCGTCTCACATGTTTCAAAGTTTTCCTAAAAAATTAGTGAAGGGAACATTTTGAAACTTTTTGCATGTAAAGAGGAAGGTGAGAAGCTCATTTTTCCAAAATTTGAAATTTTTCCAGTGAAAAATAACAACATGAGGAGTCTTGGAAATCAACCTACGATAACTGAATTAATTTTCCATAACTAATCTGTAAGAGGAAATACAGTCTCACACATTTCAAAGTTTTCTTGGACAACTAGTGAAGGGAAAATTTCGAAACTTTTTGCATGTAAAGAGGAAGGTGAGAAGTTCATTTTCCCAAAATTTTAAATTTTTCCAGTGGAAAATAACAATATGAATAATCTTGGAAATCAATCCATAAAAACTGAATTAGTTGAAAATACCGTCTCACATGTTTCAAAGTTTTCTTGGAAAACTAGTGAACGGAAAAATTTGAAACTTTTTGCATGTGAAGAGGAAGGTTAGAAGCTCATTTTCCCAAAATTTCAAATTTTTCCAGCGCAAAATAACAACATTGGTAAAGAATCTTGGAAATCAACTTACAAACACTGAATTAATTGAAAATACTATCTCACACATTCCAAAGTTTTCCTGGAAAACTAGTGAAGGGAGAAATTTGAAACTTTTTGCATGTGAAGAGGAAGGTTAGAAGCTCATTTTCCCAGAATTTCAAATTTTTCCAGTAGAAAATAACAACATGAGAAATCTTGGAAATCCACCTACAATAACTGAATTAATTGCAAATACAGTCTCACATATTCAAAGTAAAACTATTGGGGGAAAATTTTTGAAACTTTTTGCATGTAAGGAGGAAGATGAGAAGCTCATTTTCCCAAAATTTCAAATTTTTCCAGTGGAAAATAACAACATGAAGAATCTTGGAAATCAGCCTACAAAAACTGTACTCATTATTCTTTTTAATTTTTCAAATTTGGACTTGTAAATAATGAAGTGAAATTTTGGGAGAATTTCTCCAATAAAAATGAATGTCCAACATCCAACACAAAACTAGATTTAAAAAAAAAATCCGTTTATTACTGTTTCTTATAATAAAAATGTGAACCTCAGTGACCTCA